TTGGTCACCGCATATTGGTGTTTTAAAACATAATCATTTTATTTCGTAAAGGTCATAGCCTAGTCAACTATCTGTTGGACCAGGGAAAATACGTTGCTATATTTCAACCCCTACCTGATCTCCCGTTACATCAAATTCTTCGAAAATTCCTTTGACTGCATCCGACCTGAAGTTGAACAGGAAGCCCAGGGTGCCCAACTCCTCAGCGGATATTGTTCCTGATCCATCCTCGTCAAGCAACTCAAACACCGTCCTTGAATGGCGAAATATAAACTGCTTTTCTTGCTTTTCCTAAAAAAAAACAATTGATCAAACGTCCCAAGAATCGTTACTTTAAAGATATGTCGATTGAGATGTTTGAAATATTTTGTGGGCATATGTTGTGGATATTGCCTTATACAATACACATAAAAAGATATAAAAGACTGTCGCATATATAAGCATAACTGTCAGTGTGGTGACCAAAATCGTACACATTTAGATCGGGTGCAAAGCCTTCTATCCGTTAAATTTATCATTCATTCGTTAAAAGTTTGTCTCTGTTTCAGTAAATATGTCCCAAAAATTTAGGCCTACTTTTTTTAACTAGACAAAATAGATTAGTTGGTAAGCGATCGGCGACTCTCTGTAAAAATGGTACGTGGACAAAATTAACTACATGTATTTTCTTTAAACATATCATGTTTAACCGCCTTAACAGCTAAATTGAAGGTCGATCGTTGTCCTTTAGGGGAAAAAGAAGGAAGAAGCGCTTTTAAAAGCCACAGTGTCTATTATGATCTACTATGATGATTAAGATGGAAAAGAGGACCATATAGGCCTATACCTTGATGGCAATCAAAATGCAAGACAATAAATAGAATTCATCAAAGTCAATTTCTCCAGATCCATCAACATCCAACATGTCAAATACTTTGTAGATCTTTTTCTTGTCTAGGTCTGTCACTTGCCTCATGTAGTGATAAAACTGAATATCTAGAAAGAATAACAAAAGTTAGTTATCAGTGCTCCTTTTTTTAATCAACATTAATTTTTTGTTCAGTTCTAAAATCAGACGGCATGAATGGTTTGAATCTAAGCAGTGGAATTATTTTTTGAAAAATTAGCGACAGGGATGCAAGAGACTGTTTCTACGTTTCTAAACGCTGTCCTACATGTGGACATTGAACTAAACTGTCTTGAATAGCTTGTAGATAAGCCGTGGAATTGCATTAAAAAATTAGCTATAGGCCTACAAAAAGTTGTTTCTGTAATTCCAGACGCTATACTTTGTAGTTCTAGGCTGTACATTAGACTAAACATCTACCGTTTAAGCACATTTTCCCGTGAATATCGAGGAGCTTAAATATTTCTAGAATAATCTTCACATTTCTTCCAGTGAGCAGACTGTAACTTTTATCCAGATGAAGGTGCTGTAGTACATGGGATCTGACCTTCATGCTCTTAAGATGTTGTCACGCTGCCAATTCAATCGTTTACGGGAATGAACATCCCAAAAAACGCCAAATCCACACAGCGCGTCATTGTGCGCGTGGCATATTGACTTCGTTACGTTCTCAGCACGTCTCTCTCGTGTTGCGCTCGTGCCTTTTACCGCCGCCGTTGTTGAACAGAAAAAAGTGTGTGATAAGACTGGTTGTATTGCGTGCCAAGAGCTTTTCCAATAATTGGGGGAAGGTACTAAGTTGTTAAGTTCTCAATGATGTCTTCGAGTGATATAGTCTGCAAACAAATTGTTAGCCGCGCCTTTTTATATATTCTGAAAATGTGCACATACTTACTGTTTGAAGAGAAATTTCACAGCCATCAATAATTGACTGACATCCTCGTTTTCAATGAAAAGAAGTTTCTAACGTTCGTTTCTGTCTTTTTTTACATCCTAGTCTACCCGATTTCATTTCACTAAGTCCCCTACAAAACTTTTACGAGTGATTTCATTTGAATACAAACTAATGAAGAAATAAATGTTCATACAGACGTGATAGCGAATTTCCTATGTTTTAAAATGCAATGTCAAGTTTTTTTTACGAGGAAAAAAATAAGTCATATGAAACCATCGATCATAAATCTAACTTTATTTGGCTACAAAAACGGGAATTCTTTGTCTTAAACTTTTAAATCTCAGTCAACAATACTTACATCAGACCATCAAGTTCAAAGAAGGAAAATGATTATAGGGGTGCTTTCCCAGAGATTTAGATCGATCTACAGATTAAGTTTTAGATCGACCTAACTCCCTGGGGGTTCACGCTAAATTGCAGTCAGCCGAGCGGGCACCATAGTTAATTACCCCCTTGTAGCTTTTAGTAGGCGCTTAAGCCGGCCAAGCTGACAGTAATATAGTGAGACTCCCCACAGGGATAGATCGATCTAAAAATCTATGGAAATGGGGTGTAGGAGAGCTCTTTCACTTCTTGTTAGCTTCAAATGTCTCAAAATGATTATTCTGAAAACTTTGTATATAAACAGAATAATGGATGTAATTTCACGATTGGCAATAAAGTGTTAATCAACAATTATGGGAACTTGTCATGACACGACTGTACATATACAAAATAGTAGAGTCTACATAAGTGTGTATACAAAACAGAAACCTTCTCAGATACATGCAACTAAAAAAACATCGAAGAGCAAAACAGTTAACATGCACATGTAAAAGCCTTTGGTTAAACTAAAACATAGCACTTTTTCACTTAAAATCTCCATACAAGTATTCCTACTGTTGAATCCAACAATGTACCATAAGTTATCACAAAACAGCTTTTGGGATGACTGCAAACTACAGATAAAAACTAATTAAAATAATTGTTGGTCTCTTTGCAACCCCACAAATGAAAATATTTGCACTATTTGTTTTAATATTTATGTTTTAAGATATAACATTTTTAAGATATAACATTATCTAATGCTATATAATATCTAACACCATTCTTTACTAGAGGGACCTTTCAATAAAACGGCCACTACCGGCCAAATTTTGAACACTATATCTGTGTTTGTCATTTACTTATCCTTTTGCTTGGGTTTATGAGGAGACATAAATAACTTTTCTGTATAATATTATTATACTCATAATTCAAGAAGGTTTCTCTGTGTCAAAGATTGTCTAAAAGTCACCTATAGTGTATAATAGAGATAAACACAAGAAAAGTTACTGCAACTGTCCGTAGACATTTTCATCACAGCTCTGGCATGACCACTAATTACGATGTCAAAAAATAATCTGCAATGGATAATAGTGTGGGCAAATTAATAATTTGCAGCTGGAGTTGATAAAACGTATTTTGTCTCTAGCCATCTGAAATCACACGTCATAGCCTATAATGCCCACAGTTACATAAGGTGGTGCAGGAAGACCATTCTCCACACTGTAAATAGGACAAGCCAGGAATTCACATGGTGTTTCTCTCCATGCATAACGCATGCCCATAACCCACTGCCCGACACAGCCAGCAACTTTCCCATAAGACATGGTGACGGAAGTGCTGTCATGGGACACAAGGGGAACTTCATGCCACAGCGTGCTTGTCTCATTGCACTGGCTTATGCTGGTGTTGTCATGGGAGCAACAAAGCTGAAATTGTCAAAACAAAAATATATATATATATATCCATACTTTTTTCACTTTTGTAAAAACAAGTTTGAAAATGCTGTGTTTGTGTTGGCATGTCATTATTTCAATTTTTCTTAAAGGTAAGAAAGCATTTAAATATTTCAATCAATAAAGCAACTATCACTGTATGCAGATATATTCTATTTGCAAGCATAGAACATCAACATATTTGACGAGCCCCTGAAATTTTGAATAGAGTATATAAATGTAAGATTCGATATCAAGCATTACACTTCACTCAAACCCAAAGCCTGTAAATGAACCAAATTTGATTTGGGAAATAATTACTTTTTGTTGTGTTTCAAAATAGACGAAGTTGGGTAAATAGCTGTTGATACAAACTAAAGAAAAAAAAATTAAACAACTGAAAGTAATAAGTCAATTTCTGGTTAAAAAAAACTTTTTAGAATAGAAAACAGTTGTCAGGTGTTATAGATGAAATTTTAGATGAACTGACCTCAAATCCAGCACTACTCCTTATTTCCAGCAGCGTTTTCCCACTGTCATACTCTACCCTTAGAGTGTAGTAGCCTATATCAATGAAGTATGCTGAAGGCAAAGGGCCCTGGAACTTGATTCCACTCTTACCATATGCTACAGCAAGTCCTGACAGCACCAGTCTCTTGGCTACATCTATTTTGTCTCTAGGATGGATGCTTAAATGAACAATTTAATCTGATGCAAATAAAACTTCCTACCATTCACATATCTGTTTTACCTTTTTTTTACTTCTAACCAAAATTTTTGGCTAGTAAGAGTATTCAGCTGATGTTTGCTGGAGCTTCATGTAGTACACAATGCTGTTAAAAAATTTACATGTTTACAACCTGCTTGTACCGACATGATTAAGTCCACAGTATATTGTCAAAAATGCAAAGATTATGTAGAAGTTAGCAGTCAACCAGTAGAATGAACAGCAGTGTTATTTACATCCCGAGCCAAATACTGCACCTAGGTATGAATCTAATTTAATTCAGCAATACAATAATAATAATATCCCCTTACTTACCCGGTCCAGGGCGATTTAGGGTCAGGTAAATCCATGGCCACTGCCATGAAGACCTTGGGCAGGTCATAATTAGGTACATAGCCCATGTCATACGTCTGATGCCAGCGTATGGTAGAAAAACCAGATGGACTGTTAGGTTTTGTTCTCCATGGAGCTAGCTGTAGAGTGAAATAATAATGAAACAGTAAAATAAAAAATATAACGAGATGGATCATGACTTAAACCATGTGTCCTCCTAGAACCTATGCTGGTGCAATAAAACTGGACATTTTACTACCTGATAAATACTATGCTCCTAAACCTCTGATGTAATAAGCTGACTTATGTTTTAATATTCTTTTGCTTTGATTTATTTCACATAATTTCTGATACTATGGTGTAATTTAATTACAAAAACTAATACATCATTCAAATGATCATATTATGTTATATGACATGCACAACTGTAAATGTTACACATATATAATAATATTATAATGTTTATTTCTTATATAGCATATTCCATTTTTATACATTTCTATGCACTTTACATAAAATCTTAAGAATCAGAATTCTTAAGAACTATAGCACTAAAATACAGACCTACTTTAATCAAAAACTTTTTAAAAGATGAGTTTTTTTAGAACCTTTATAACTGCCACAAATACCTTTAGCTTTAATATAAAAAGGCAGATTGTTCCACAATTTTGGAGCATAAATAATTAAAGCCCTCTCTCTCCATAAAGTCTGTCACATTGTCTCTCTATTTCACAGTGGCTTAGTGTAAAATTGTTAAAAAAGAGGATATGTAAATACCTGGACAAAACCAAATGGAAAATTTTCATCAGTCTGTCCCATGGTGCCTTCATGCCACTTCTGTCTCCAGTCCCCAATCATGGCACGGAATGTACACTTGTATTTGTTCATAGTAGGCGGTGAAGCATTGGCCTCCCCTGTAATAATCATAGCAGTACAAATACAGTCATGTTCAAAGAAAGGATCTTTATTTACTTTTTTTTTGCTGCGTAGGAAAAAAAGGGTCCATTTGCCCTCCTGAGCAGTTATTTCAACATAACATGTTAAAGGGTCCATTTGCCCTCCTGAGCAGTTATTTCAACATAACATGTTAGTCTTTGAAAAACAAAAAATTTCGCATAGTTTCTAGCCTAATTTGTGTGTGCACAGACCAACATTTCTTGGCCATCTATTACAACAGACAGATGCAGCATTTTATTTAAAAAAAAGGGGTTAGAAAGGATTTTTAAAAAAATGCCAATCCAAAGGAAGCAAATTTAAAACAGATGGGACTTTATTATTATTATAATAAGTCAGAAAAGGGAATGGAAAATTTGATTGGTTTTTAATCCCCCTTTTTTATAGAAAGGGTGCAACTCAGAAGCAACAGGAGTGGTACCCTCTGTACTTCCCATTGACCTTTTGTAGAAACACTAACATAATGTTAGCATTCACTTATTGCTCCAAAGATGACAGCTTTCACTGTTAACTTTTATCTGAATATGGTGCATAAGGTATTCTCCATAATTACAACTAAGATATTAACAAAAGAAAGATAGCATGCATTTTGTTCTTTGACTTAATGTTATTTATCTATTCACCATTTCACAGTACTTTCCCCTCTTCAGCATCTTTCCCCCTTTTTAATTTTTCTGTCAATTTTATGTTGACAAATTTTGTGCATAATCCCTTAAAAATGCTCATTTTTCGTTCACTTTATTTGAGGGAGGGCAACTGGAAATTTCTGAATAAAAATGCGAAGTGTTTTAATAAAATCACCTTGATACCAGATAGCTCCATAAATAGTTGTGTTGAGGAAAGGATGTATCATGGCATTCCACAGGACAGTATGGTCACCTGGAGCCTCTGGAAACATTGGGTCATTCACTTTCACCCTGTCTTCGTTGCTAAAAATTAATGTAAATTATTTTAAATACACCAGAACTAGCAAATATGACCAGTACCCTATACACATGCAGTATATATTACTATGGTGATTCAGAAATAAATACATCAAATATAGATGTGTTCATAAGGTGATAATAAGATGCTAAGAATATTACATGGAACCAATATTTTTTCTTTCAAATAAGCCATTGTCTGCTACCAATTATTCAGTTGATATCATAAAAAGTTTCTTAGACTGACCTTATAGAAAGACTTAATTGCAAGTTTTTCTGAGCTACGTGCATCAACATAAATGCTGTCTTTCTAGCATGTTTTACGACAAATATTTCTTACAAAATATAGCAATTTGGTGAAATATGATGCAATATTTCTCATCTTCTTCTGCCAATTCAAATCATTTTAGCTGTTGAATCTAACACTGATATTGAGCTGTTGAATCTAACGCTCTTCAAGACTGTGCAAAAAAAAAAAAAAAAAAAATGTACAGGTGCCAGTATATGTAAAATTGTTTCAGTTTTTTTCAAATCAGCCTGTAAGTAAAGTGCCATTTCACATTTGTACTTCCTAATTTAGCTTTTGATTTTTGTAGGTATATGAGAGCCTAGCTAATCTATTCTTATTTTTTGATGAAAAAACTTGTTACAGACTGTAACATTTCTCATGTGTACACTTGACATACATGTAGCTTATGAGAAGGGTGATCCAGTCTCTAGTAGCAAGCCAGATATATACCTGTATAATTAAAATTTTCCATTGGAATATGAAATTAGGTTTCTTTCAGTCAATCTGAAGTTCATTCTACTAAATATAACTTAAGACTGCAAAACATCTCGTCAAATTTCCTAAAAATGAATTCTTTTCTAAAGTGAAGCTTAGTACAAAGGATCACCTCTGACCATAACACTGCCTTAGAGCATCTGGGGATGACCAAGCTTCTACAGGGGTCCCTCCCCAAGTTGTGTCTATCAGGCCTATGGGATACTTGAGCCTGTCATATAGCATCCGCCCATACAACCAGCACACTGCTGAGAAATATTTCCATGGTTGGTGACCAACAGTGTCTGTTAAAGAAAAATGCACAGCACTATTCATATATCAAACCATTTTATATTCAAAATTTCATTTTTGTCAAAATATAAACCAGTAACAGTTATAATGATGGTAGCTTCAAATTTACCAGTAGACTACTAGATTTGGCAAATGTCCATACAAAGACTGATTGGGTGAAACAGCCACCAGCCTATATTACATAACGGTAACAGGAGTCAAATTAATGCATTCTATATATACCTAAGTTTGAAGCACTCATACACATACATTGACAAGTTTGTTGAGAGAGTTGCATCTTCAGATTTCATGAGCTTATTAAAGTTGAATACGTTTACCTGAATGCCGGGAATATATTTGGCTCTGTAGCCATTATACCGAGGACACACAAACACGAAATGGTACTCATCCTAACAATATGTGTTCCTGTGACTTATTTGGACATTTCATCTTCAAGATATTTAAGATGTGTCATTAAAAAAACATTTTCATCCAATACATACACTGTTTTGTAACTTGTATTTTACTTTTCATTTTTTCATAAATAACTGTTCTTTTAGCCAGATGTTTCTAAGCTATTGTATAACCACCTATAAAAATAAATAAAAGAAAAAAACAATTATTCCAAACCTTTTGCTGCTAAGGACCAAACCTCTTCTACACTTTTTAAGTTAAGAAGTGGCACATCTGATGTCACTTGACTAGCAGTGAAAAGTCTTACATGAGTGTACTTTGAGGCTCCTTCAAGCTCTTCACTTGCATTCAGCATCTTGAAAAAATACATATTGAGCTGTTGAATCTAACACTCTTCAAGACTGTGCAAAAAATGTACATGTGCCAGTATATGTAACATTGTGTCAGTTTTTTCAAATCAGCCAGTATGTAAAGTGCCATTTCACATGTGTATTTTCCTAATTTTGCCTTTGATTTTTATGGGTATATGAGAGCCATAATAATAACATTTAGTACACCTGACTGTAAAATTTTCAAGGGTTTCATTTTTGATGAAGTGTAGGTATGCACCTGTATCTTGGTATTTTTTTGTGAAATTACTAACAGTTTTTTTTTTTTTTTTTTTTTTTTTTTTTTACAAATTTCATAGTCACCATATCTGTTGTAAACTGCATGTTGCTTTGTCCTGAGCACAGCCATACATCTCCAAAGAGGACATCTTTGATTGCCACCTGTCCATCAACAGATTTAACACTTATAATCACAGGGGGAGTGGAAGAGGGTGTGGGCTTTAATAAAACTTTCCATACACCTGGTCCTGGGTTGTCTTGAGGATCTGAAAATATTTTTTTTTCAAGAAGCATGAAAAGATGAGCCTTTAGAAACATGTGAAGGGGCAAGTTTTTTTTTTCAAAATTTGAAAGAGCAATTAATAAATTTAAGACCTGCAAATATGGGGTCTAAATCTGACATATTCAAGGTATAAGGTGAAAATTTTCAAAAACAACTTTGATTGTGGAAAAATTTCTGGAAAAAATATTGTTTATGACACATTAATTACTAGGATACCAGCATTTACACAGTTTAAATGAAAAAAAAAACTTACTTTTTTGCACAGTGGCAGAATAAGAATCATTCTGTACAGTGATTTTGACTACTGATCCTAGAGTTTTTGCAAACCCCCATACCACAGCCTGCTTAGGTGCTTGCTGCAGCACCATGTGATCTCCATAATGACTGGCAAAGCTCAGGTCAGCAGTAACTTCTACAAAAGATAATAATGCTGAATGGGTTATTATACAAACACACACAGACTGTCCATCATCTACATGTATGGGGCAGGGAATAGTTATTTACAAAGATTTTAAAACTGGATAAATTTTGTTTTCATGACCTTTTCCTAGGTTTGCAACATCCATTATTCTTTTTAAATGTGAAACACCTATAATGAAGCATATTATAAATTTGACTGCACAATATGTTGTTGAACAAATCACTGTATACTGGTACAGGTTGTGAACTTCTATCTCAGCTCTCATTTACAAACAGATGAAAATAAAGTGTTCTATTTTTTGTCAAAAACTTTGGAAAAAAACTAGGATTTTAATCATAAACAATTCAGCATAAAATAAATATTACATGGCGGCTAGTCACCCCTGCATGCACCCATTATCTGTAACTTTTGTTTGGTATTTAGTGATAAATAATTATAATCACAACTGCATTTGCAGGTGATAAAGGATTACAACAGGTGATAAACAATTACAATACTGGATCCAGATACAGATAAAGTGCTATATGATGTTTGATAATGATGTACTGGTACAGTTTACATGGTGTACCGGTAGTCCTGGCAGTGCTGAGTTGCGGTTGAATAGCTGACCAGTATAAAAACTTTGTAAACTATTTTAATACAGGCAAATGCATATTTTATGAAGGATATATGACATAAATAACAATAACATTACATTAAATTAAGGTATATTATTTATTCCATTTGCTATTGATGCATATTCAAAAGCTTGGGCCAAATGATCCAAGTAAAAGTAATGTTTTCTTTTAATATTATTGTTACTGAAAGCAAGGAGTTCCAACAGTTGGAACTCCTTGCTGAAAGATATACTGAGTATACATGTATATATACATTTCAACCTCAAAAGCTTTAGATATTACTTACTTTTTCCAGCTCTTGTTGATGCACTGTTAAATATAACCAAGAGCAACAGTATCAATAAAGGCCTCATCTTCAATCTGTAACACAAGAAACAAAATTATATCTTCTGGCCGGGCTTTTGGGACTATTCAGTCATGATGTATTGTATACAATGTCTGCTAATCAGAATTTCTCCACAACTCTGTCTCGTTTTCAATAAAAATTCTAGCATCGCTCGGCCAGAAAGACACACAGCCGACACAGGTTGTGTGCATTGTAATATTGAATGATTTTTGGTTTCAAGAAGAAAATTTTGAAATATTAAGTACTAAAATAGTTGCTTATTCTTTTCTTTAAAGCCATTACTTTTATAGTTTTTTCATTCACGAATTTCGCAGTAACGTAGCGTTATTCTCTTGGAATCTTACCAGTAATAGATTCGTATCGGTGAGCTTGGGTCGCCAAGACAACATGCGCAAACAGCATGCGTGTTGGGGATATGTTGACAAATTACAACGAGTGGTCCAACACACTGTTTTCAGTTTGGCGAAACTTTTATCAAACTAGTAGTCTAGTCATCAAGGCTTAGAATGCCTCATTTAAAAGAACCAAAGGTGACAGAACCTTTATGGAAAGATTGGGATTACAAGGCACAGAAGAAGGGGATCCGTCACACCGTTTACTCTGTAAATGGTGACGAATACACCGGGGAATGGCTAGATAATAAAAAACATGGTGAGTTCCCTAAGAAAACCATTTCTTCGTTTTTCACGTGAAGGCAGGATATTCCTTACTTTACATAAGACTATCTTAATCACTGATCATCGTGTTGTTCACAATTCATGCAGCTTGGTGAATAAAGCTTTCTCGTCGTTTTCAGGCAAAGGAACATATAAATGGAAATCAACGGGAGCTATTTATGATGGAGACTGGAAAAATGGAAAAAGGAATGGTTTTGGAACACTCAGCACACCTGATGGAAAAGGTGGATTTAAAAAAGAATATTCTGGAGGTTGGAAAAACCACATGAGACATGTAAGCCTATTGTTTTTCTTTGTTTTCCAGAATAATAATGCGTATATGGACATACTTTTAAATAGTTATTTTTTAATTAAAAGATGACAGTAATTATGTTAATAATTCTATTAACTGGTATAAATGCCATAATTTGAAGTTTAACGTTTCGATGTATATACAACATGTGATCTGAAAAAGTGTTTTGTTAGTTAATTTCCCTTTTATAGTGAAAGTTATGATTTTCATTTTTAGGAATTGGTATTATTAATGTGACAAGATGCAAGTTGCACATTTAAACAATAATCTAGTCTATTCACATTATGCAAGATACTTAGTTTAATACATTTTAATTGTAATTTTCAGGGTTATGGAACACAGTATTATTCTGATAATGAATATTATGAAGGAGAGTGGTATGCTGATAAAAGAAGTGGCTGGGGAAGGATGTACTATGCTAATGGAAATATATATGAAGGAGAATGGTATGACGATATGTGCAATGGACAAGGAATGTTGCGATTAGGTGAGAATCAGTGATTAGCAAAACCCATGAAATTGAATTGGACTTTTTAAAAAACACCAATTATGTGTTTTGATATATGTGAAATATTAAAAAAAAAAATACAACTTACAGATATTCCAGAGGTTTTCAATATCTTTCTATTTACTGGCTAACACTACAGAGCTCCACACTCATCAACACTTTTTCATTTTTTAACCTCTTTTCTTCACTTAACTTGATTAAAGGAACAGCAATTGAGAATTTATGTTTACTTGCTTAAGGCCCCTATTTCACACAGACCACGAATCCCACAAATCGCCAGGAATTGACAAATTTTAGGATTCGTGAGGATTCGTGAGATTTTGCCAATTTTCTGGTCTTATTCGACACGCTCATGATTCACTTACGATACAGGTACGATAGTGTTACGAATATTCGTGGGATTCGGCTGGAATCGTGAGATTTTGCCAATTTTCTGGTCTAATTCGACACGCTCTACGATTCAGTTACGATACAGGTGCGATAGTGTTACGAATATTCGTGGGATTCGGCTGGAATCGCACGAATATTGTCCAGAAATTCACTATGATTTCTTGGAATCGGGAGTTCGTGGCCAAAACTATGAACAGCTCAAAATTTTTGCCACGAATTCCCGATTGATCAAGAATTGCAAGAACTGACTACGATTATATACGAATCTGTTAAGAACTTCACAAACTGATTACGATTCAACCAAATTTTCAATTCCTGGCGATTTGTGGGATTCGTGGTCTGTGTGAAATAGGGG